AGCCGGGTTCGAGCTTTTTAACTAAAAATACGTTGCTTGCTCAAACCCGCCTACAAATTTTTCCCTAGACTCTAATGTATGCAGCTTCCCCTACACCCCCCTTTCTATACTACGTCGTTTTATCTAGTAGCACTTTTTGTATTATTTTTTTTTTCCTTTCCTTCTTTGCTTTCAATTCAAACAAGAATATAAACATTTTTACAAACCTCATTTGCTTCATTTTCTCTCTCTTCTTTTTCACTGATATCATTTTCTCTCTCTTGTTTTTTTCTTTTTATTATAGTTTTTTAAATTTCTCTCTCTTCTTTCATGGAGATCAATGTAAATAATTCGTACTTTTAATGATAATCAGTCAATCGATTTTGATAATGCTTTGTTTTATGATTGTAATTGTATGATTATAATGTTTTGATTTCATAGTTTTTGTTGTATTGATTTTAATTTTGATAATGCTCTGGTTTTGGTATTATTGTTGTTGTTATAAGTTGATTAATAATTTAGGTTGTATTGTTCTTCTAATTCGATTGTTTTTTTGTTTTTGTATTTTTTTTTATTGTAATGTTATTATTTGAGTGTTGTTTTTTTTTATAGACTTCATTTTCTCTCTCATTTCTTTCACCAATTTCATTTTCTCTCTCCTCTTTTTCACCAATTTCATTTTCTCTCTCCTGGTTTTTTTTTTTTGATTTATTGTTTTTCAATTTTCTCTCTCTTCTTTCATGGAGATCAATATAAGTAATTCTTACTTTTAATGATAATTAGTCAATTGTTTTGATAATGCTTTGTTTTACAATTGTAATTGGATGATCATAATGATCTGATTTCATAGTTTTTGTTGTATTGACTTTAATTTTGATAATGCTTTGGTTTTGTTATTGTTGTTATTAGTTGATTAATAATTTAGTTTGTATTGTTCATCTAATTCGGGGGGTTTTTTTTTGTATTTTTTTTATTGTTGTTTAATCCAGTTTTGTGCGTTTCGTATGAGTATATATTGTTGTTTTAATTTTTCTATTCGATTATTTTTACCAGTTTTGTGCGTCGTAAAAAAATAATCTTAGTTAAAATAATGATCACTTCTGTAACAGTAAATGTTAATTTATATTTAATGTATTTTTTATGTATTAAAATACTTGTATATGTTTATTGTAGTTGTATTTGAATACTTATGTTGTACATGTGAATTTCAATTATTTTCATTGTTCTATAAATGCTCATATACATTTTAACTAGTGAATATATTTTATATTTGTTCTGTTGTAATAATGTTCATTTATGTAATTATAAATGTTCATTTATATATATACTTGTGTTTATGGAATTATATGTTGTACATGTGACTTTTTTTAATGATTATCACTATTTTGTAGTTTCAGAAATAATGTTCAGTTATATGACGATAGATGATCATTTATGTTTTACATTTGGTAATTCAACTGTAATTGACCAAATGCATCATTATAATTGAACATTATTGCTAATGTAATTTATTACATGTTACATTATTGCAGTGGGAAAAAAGGATATTATTATTTTTGAAGAAGCAAGTAAGTCTGAGTTAGTGGGGAACGAAACAATTTAAAACTGCTGATGAAGTTTATGAAATGTGTTCAAATTCCAATTATATGGTCAAGCAAATAATCAAGTTGCTACTAGTGTTCAAAAGATCGAGTGCTCAACTTCCTCCCATTATCTTCCAAAAATGTAAAAATTCCTATAAATGCTCAAATGGCTCTAATATTTATAAGAATATCTTTAACCTTTTGTTATTAGGATCTTGCTAACGAGCGCCCCGGGGCGTTAGATAAGGTTAAATTATATTGGTTGAAATAGTATTAAGTTAGGAATTCATGACAAAATCATGCGTCGTTCGGTGCAATTAATGTTAATTTTACTCTAATATTTGCACTTTAATTCTCTTATCTAACGCCCCGGGGGCGCTCATTAGCTTTTGCCTTGTTATTAAGTACTATTCTTCTTATTGAATATTAATTTTTTTTTAAAATCTTCTATAAGTGAATATTTTAGTATTTGTAATTGAGCATTTAGTTTTTAAAAATGATCATTAAGTTTTTGTAAAGAATCATTTAGCTTTTGTGAATGATCAAAATTGATTAACATAATACTTTACATAAAATCCGCAATTTTCATATAAAATTGTAAGAATTATTCTATAAACAAATAATATCTACTCCGTATTAAACTTTAAACGTATAAAATTAAATAGTTAATCACATAGAGTAATTCTGTTAACAATTAATATCTACGAAGTATAAGTTTTATCAACCAGCTATGGACGTATATCTATCCATAAGTGAACATATTATATTATGCCTTTGCAAATCTTCTTGATGTTATTCTATTATTCTTAGACTCATGGTTTTTCTTCAGTAGCATTAGTTGAGAAGTGTATTGCAATTTGCATCCCCAACCTTGTGATTTAGCCTACATGTTAATGAAAATGAATTGTTATTAAAATAAACAGTACATTAAGTGTTATATAATTGAACATTATGTGCTACAAAATTGAACACTAAATACTATAACTTGTTTATTAAATTTTACTTAAAATGTTAGCTTTAAAGGCACAAACATTATGTGCTACAAAATTGAACACTAAATATTATTTTGCCAAATCGTTTATTTTTATCACATTGGTGTATCGTTTAAAAATACTTTTAGTAAAAAAATGATCACTTGTGTAATAGTAAATGTTCATTTATGTTTAATGTATGTTTCTGTAGTAAACTATAGGTTTATTGTAGTCGTATACGAAAATATATGTTGTACATGTAAATTTGAATGATTTTCATTCTTTTAAAGATGCTCATGTAAATTTTAACTAGTGAACATATTTTAATATTTATTCCCTCAAAAAAAATAGTTTAACATTTGTTATTCTGTTTTGTTGTAATAATGTCCAATTATGCAATTATAAATGTTCATTTATATATACACTTGTATTTATGGAATTATAAGTTGTACATGCAACTTTTAATGATTATCACTGTTTTGTAGTTTCATTAATAATGTTCAGTTATGTAACTATAGATGATCATATATATTTTTACATATGGTAATTTTACTGTAATTGATCAAATGCATTATTGTAATTGACCATTATTGCTACTGTATTTGTTCATTTATTACATTTTTAATTATTGCAGTGGGAATAGAGGATGCTGTTATTTTTGAAGAAGCAAGTCACTTTGATTTTCGGAGGAAACAATTTCCTTCGGTAGATGATGCTTATGAAATATATAATGAGTATGCTTTTATGAAAGGTTTGGGATCAGAGTTAGGAGGAGTAAGAGGCGAAAGGATGACTCATTTTTTATGAAAGGATTTATTTGTTCTAATAAGGGGTTATAAAGATAATAAGTGTAGAAATATTAGATCCTATGAGTGACTTGATACAAGAACTGAATGTTTAACTTTTGTACAGTTTCCTATTGATCGTTAAGGTGTGTTTATGAACATATTCTAATATAGTTAGTGAATGATGGTTCAAAGTCGTAAAAAAATATTAGTATTATATATATACTATTTAAATGTTTGCTTTTGAACGATGTGATTTGTAATAATACTTTGGAAAACAAAAAGTTTATATCCTTCTTATTAAAATCAAATAGAAATTGTATATCACCAAAAATTAAACTATTGAATATTAAATATACAATTCAATTCTACACATATTGATGTTGCGCGAATCCATGCATTCTTGCTTTCCTTATTTTTGTCGTCTGATCTTTCTTTTTTTTCCTTGCTAAATATCCACGACTCTTTGTTTAACTAATCGACAAAAACAAGATTTTTTTAGTTAGATTTGAGCAAGAATAAGTGTTGAAATGAACCAATTTTCATATGAATATGAAAATATAACAATTGAAATGATCGATATGGATGAACATATATTAATATATAAATGAACATATATATTTGTAGAACTGATCATCTATTAATATGGAATGAACAACTATTAACACAATAATGAACATATTTACATAATTGAATATGAAAATGTACATCTATTAATATATAAATGAACATGCATTAGTTTAAAAATGCCTATGAAAGATATCAATTGATGAACATGAAATATATACGTAAATAATACTTGAAGCTATCAATATGTGATTTATCATACATCCATCTAAAAAAAGACATATGTTGAAACTCAAAATTTAACCGAGCATGAAATATTTGAAGAAGATGACCAAAATATAAATATTTATCAAAATTCTAGTAATCGTATATTAATATGTGAAAACCATATACTTTTATGCGATTGAACATCTACCAAAATACAACCGAATATTCATCTAAAATCACTTTCCACTCCAAACTATGAAAAAGAATGACATTTATATATACAATGACTATGTAGTAATAATTTTCCACTCCAAACTATGAAAAAGAATTAACATTAATACAATGACTATGTTGTGATATATAAATGTAGTAATATATTTATATTAATCATCTATTAACATGTGAATGATTGTATACTAGTATATAAATGAACATTTATTGAAACGGAAATGAACATTCAGTAAAAAAGAAACGCTACAAACTAATTCAATTAATGTTTACTTTTCTCCAGATTCTTTGATGTTCTTCTCTGAAACTATTTCCTTCAACTGCCCAAAAAAAAAAGAGAATACTTCATAGTTCATACCCAAAAATGAAAAGCTACTTGTTCAGATTACTAGTTTTTAAACGAAAATTAGTAAAAATTACTAAAATGCAATAGTTCATAATCTTTTTCTATGTTTTATACTTCGACGATGATCCTGTAACACAATTGCAACAAAAAATTACTAAAACTAGGGTTCGTTTATATTCTTTTTTGAACTAAATATGAACAAAATCACTTACTCCTTTGAATTTCGACCTTGATTAGTTGAATTATGTAGTAACTGAACAATTTTTTTTGATAATTTGTCACAAATTTTGTAGAAATTTCATATTTGAAAATGCAAAAAATAGATGTAGAGAGAGAAAATATAGAAAATGGGTGAGGAGAGAGAAAGTGAAATGATAATGGTTTTTTTTTCTTATGTATATATGGGGTGGGGGAAATAGTACGGATATTACTATGTAGTTACTGTAAAAGTGAGTATTTGGGGAAGGGGTGTTAAACGATGAGTTTAGGGAGGGGTGTAGGCTAAGATGCCTAGACTAGAGTCTATCCATATATAACCCGCCCTATTTTCGGGCCGGATCAGGTCGGGCTAGCGGGCCGGGCTAATGTGATCACCTTTTGCATTGAAACCAGTGAAAGGCACCCTACTTTTTCCATTGACGTGACTTCTGAAATCTCTGTCCTCCATTGAAGCACCTGTTTTTTTTCATTTTGTATTAATCGAATATCAATTTCACAATTTAGGGTTTATTTTTAGGGTTTTCCATTGTGAATTTTCCCGCCGTTGTTGAAACTTGAACATTTCAGAAATGGAGAAGAATCCCGCAGAAGAAGCTCTAATTCTACTCAGAAGCAGACTATGTGACCCTCATGCATTTTTCTCTCTCCTCCCTTCTTCTTCAGATACCAACTTTAGGTAATTCTTCTACTCCCCTAATTTCCCATTCATCTCTATTAATATTAAATCTATGAAAGTCATACTTGTTTCTTTCAATTATAATTGTCTTAAAATTTGTTTCGACCGCTTTTCCATTTTACAGTAAATTGAAGTTTTTGATATCTAGTTCAATCACGGAAGCATGTAATAATTCGGTGTTGCTTCTTGGTCCCCGTGGTTGTGGCAAAACTGCGGTTTGTTCTTAGTTACTCTTCCATTGTTTTTAATTTAATTATGGATTTATATGATTTTGCGGATTTTGATGATGTCTAAATTTTGTGGGTGTGTAGGTTTTGGAGTTAGTCCTTAGAGATTTATTGGTGGAATATCCTGATATGATATCTGTGGTAATGCTCTATATCTCGAATTCCCAATTCCTATTACTATGTGAAAAAAAATCTAATAATTGGTGCTTCCAGTCGAAACTCATTTTGCTTGTGGCAAAGCAATACTTAGAAAATTTTGATATTATGTACTTCATTTGTCTTTTGCACAAGTTTTAAGAAGGTAAAGGAAATAACTAGATGTGGGGTTCGGTTGATTAAAAATGAATATACAAAAAAAAAAAAAAACAAGATGGTGGGGGTTTAGTTGATTAAAGTTTGGGGTGAAAGGAGAATTATATGGGGACAGAGGTAGTAATATTAGTAATATGGGTACTATGTATATTACAAAGTAATAAAGTATCAGTGTTCAGAATTTGCACATAAGAGTTGAAAATCTTGGTGTTTTAAACAGAATGATCTCATATTGGACTAATCACTTTTAAAAAAAATCTATAACTTTACTTGGTTTTGGTGGATGAATGAAGTACCTTGAATTAATTTGTAAGTGAAATTGTAATGTTTTGAAAGAAATCACTAGACGTAAGCTATTATTTGTATGATAAAATGCCCTTTGTATAATGAAATTTATTTGAAGAAAACATTTCTTTGGTAGTTCAATTTACTGGAAGTGGGCAGACTGAAGAAAATTTAGTTCATTCCCTTTGTATTTTCTTAATTTTCCAAACAATCCTTAAATGTGCTATGTGGGGTTAACATATTCGGCTTAGTCAAATTAAATTTTGGGTAGTAGTAAGGTTGATGTTCGCTGATTCTCTGTGGTAGACCAAAATATCTCCCATTTTTCTCTCATATAGATTAATGTCCTTATGTTGCCTTGGTGTGTGGATCTTTTGAATACGATCCTAACAGGTATCAACCCGTAGAACAACGGTTTCTTTCAGTCCTTAAAACTATTTGATAGGTGCTTTGGCTAAAACCCGAGTAGTTTCATGCTCCTGAAAACTGGCATGTGTATGAAACAAGTGATGGATAGAGTTACTAGAAATGGGGTAGGGTTGACGCTACAATTTAGACATGATACATTACTTGTCCTTGCTTTATCATTTGTGCGATTAACTAATTTGGTATGATACATTTCTTCTTATTATTTGTATTCAACTAATACTCCTTTCTATGTATGAGAATTTGGATTTGTTTAAGTAGCGTCATCAACTGTACCAGTGTTCGAATAAAAAAAAGGTCTTGTTTTTCCGCAATTCACTAGTGCACTATTTCAAGTTTTCCTAATATAAATTAATTATTGATATTGTATTCTCTATTATGAGAAAATGGTTGTTGGTTCTTCCTTCCTTTTGGTGGGCTGAATATGGCATTGGGTGTTAAAGTATGTTACTTTTTGCAGATAAAATTAAACGGGCTTTTGCATAGTGATGATAATTGTGCCCTCAAGGTACGGCTTAAAAGTCTTCTCATAATTAAAAGTTCCAGTACTCTGCAACAAATGGCTGCTTTTGAGTTTAATTTCTTTTCATTTTTGTTAGATGGTATATTATAAGCTACATATTTTTCACATTATTGCTCTTAATGTTTGTAAATAACATGAGCTTGAGTATATTACATTATTATGCTATGAAGTGATGAGGCTTAATACAAAAACTTTTCAGTCTCTTGGTATCGGTGTTAGGTGAGTGTGCTTTTGGCTTTATTCTCCTCAACTTGGTAATTTAAGTTTCAGCAAAAATAAACAAAGTTCAATATTTTAGCAGAAATGTGAATGGTTCTGCAAAATTATGTTTTCTTTCAGCAACAATAAGTTGAGGACTGAGCCTTAGTCATTGGTTTGTTTGAGCACCTTTACGTTTACTTTAATGTTGGATGACTTGGGTGCATTTTCCCACTACATCAGATAGGAAGTTGTGTAATGTATAAATATGTAATAATTATAATGATATGTTTCCATTTAATTTTATGATATATTAGATTATTAAAGCTTAAGATTATCCAACGATACACAACTTATATAACTTGACATTATCTAGCTTTAGTGACTATGTAGTGGCATTGGTCCTTCTTGGGTAACTCTCGGTGTGCAGTTCCACCAGCTAAGAAATGTAATCAAGATCATTTTAGCTACCGAGTTAATGTCTTATATTGTTACTGCTTCTCTGATTTGCACTTCCATCTTCTGTAGATGATGTTCTCTGAGTTTTATAAATTTCTTCTATGTTTGTCTCTGCATAGAGATTCTCCTTATATTGATATTATTTAACCATGATTTACTATGTAGGAAATCGCCCGACAATTATGTGTGGAGCATCAGTTGTCGTTCTCGAAAATGGTAAACTGCATACATCTATACAATTTGTTTTTGATTTGATTTCCATATGAGATTACAGAACAATTATTAAAAAGATTGACTGTGCTCAGGCTTCTTTTGATGACAATACTCAATTTGTGATTAGTATGTTGCGGTGAGTGGCTTATATTTTTAATTTACTTTCGATAACTTTCATATGTAATCAAATTACATCATTTGGTTGTTGGTCAATGGATTCCTATAAAATTGATATTAAATCAATCTTTTTACCTTTTGTTCTTTCTTTTAGAGAGTGTGGGTTGGCACATAAGACAATTGTTATTGTTCTGGACGAATTTGATATATTTGCTCAGGTATGCATTTGTCTTCTTCTAACTTCACTGTAACCTTGAAGCATTCTTCTAATTCTGCAATGGCATTGGTCATTCTTGGGTACACATTAGCCCTGCAATGTCTTCCCTAATTCCTTATATATATTTTTTTACTCATTTTTTATGAAATTTCAAGTGATGTGTATTGAAATTTTTCATCATCACCTTTTGTTTTTCACTTTCCAGGGTAAACAACGGTTACTCTATAGCTTGTTAGATGCAATGCAATCTGTGACGTCACAAGCTGTTGTGATTGGCATTAGCTGTAGATTGGTATGTTTTATTAAGAATTTTCTTTTTCTCTGCACATGATCTTGTCCATGTTGAGCAAGATGGAAGTGTTTCAATTGGAGATTTTTTATTGGAGGTTTATATTGATGTTTAAAGCTGTGTTTGTTAAAAATTTCGCCCCTGTTCACTTCACCTTAAAAAAAAATATTCAATTAAAAAAATAATATTCAATTAAAATAATTTTAGTTTAGTAAAAATAATTTTACTAAAGTAAAATTAAATAAAGTTCAGTTAGTAAAAATCAGTAATTATAAAGAAGAAATATAATAGAGAATCAATAAAAATAATTCAGTTTAGCAAAAATAATTTCAGTTCAGCAAAAATTAGATGAAATGAACGGGGTCTTAGTTATTTAGCTATATCGCCTTTTTCAATGATGATTTTTTTTAGTGTGTCTTGTACATGAAAGTAAACTTGGCAAAATGATATTCCTAAGTATGATTATAAGAGTCAAGCATTGGTTATTTTTGGAGAAAGTCATCTTGTGTAAAGTTGAATTTCTCTCTAAACACTTAAGTATGATTATATGGTAATACTACAACCCATCAATACTAGTAAAATCAACTTTTATTTTTATTTGGAAATAATTAGAATGGGATTAGTATGTTTAGTAATTGAATTGGCTATGGTTACCTTGAGATATGGTGTAAGTCTTATTTTTATTCAAGTATTTCATAAAGTTAATTTTTTTTTCTTTTTTTTGCAAATAATTTGTGCAATATAAGTGTTTTTAATTTTTTTATTTTTTATTTTAAATGTAAAATAAGATTTTATCATATATATAAAGAATTGTATTCAAGCTTTATCATACAATTCTTGGTTGCTTATATGTAGTAAATAGCTTTGTGTTGTAGAAAGGACAAATTTGCCATATTTTCTAGTTTTATGGTGGCTATTAGAACCCATGAACTAGCATTCTTATCTTTATTTTGATTTCTGGATATAGTCTAGAGAAGAGAGAAAAAGGATGATCTAACAACAATGGTAGATCAAATGCTCCACACTTTTTACTTTTTGTAAAAATTAGAAATATAAAAAAATTAATGAACCTCAATAGTAGTGTGCGATTACTAGTAAAAATGATTGGAGTAGGAAAGTTCTAGAGAAAATTTGTGATGATCTCATCAGACGTCATGTTTGAGCTCCACAGCTCCATTCAGGAGAGAGAAAGAGGCAAGGGGGAGAGGAGAGAGATATTGAATGATTTTTTTTTTTGGGTACAATCACATGAGTAATACTCCGTAAGGAAATTATATAGAGTGACCGGTATTTAGATTAAATTGATTGACGGTAATAAGCGCTTTTCACGCTTCTCGCACTAAGAATACTTCTCATGTGAGTCCAAATCTTCTCACACTAAGGATGATGTATATATTTTGAAAAACCCATTAACTTCTACATGAAAATAAAACCCCCTATCTCCTTTCCCATCTACTTTTTTTTAGTAAATCACAAATGATGGCCAATCAACTTATCACTTACACCTGTGTTAAAACTAAGGAGTAACAATTAGGCATATAATAAAGTTGCTCACTTACTCCTAATGTCACCATATGTTAAGCATTTGTACACAATGGTACGAGTATAGATTGGTGATACATTTTTTTAATATTTTGGACAACTTAAATATCAAAATTGCAATGAAATAAAGAAGAGGAAAAAAAATAATACCTTTGAAATCCTTCCCTTCTCATGATTCTCCATCAATCACCTACTTAGTACTCACTACCACTCCTCATCACGATCAAGTTCGCATCTCTCCACCACCATTGATCTATAGCTATTATTATATAGTACATAACCATCACCCACCAAGCTACTACTTTGTCTACTTCTTGCTAAGGTGAATGAATTCAAGAAAATAGATGTGGCTGACTACCCTTAGGGAAGGACAAGGAAGCTATAAGGGGTTAGTGAAATAGGTGTTTGACTTGGAGTAGTACTATAGAGTATTAATGTTGGATAAAGGGGAAAGAGAAGATGGAAAGAAAGGAGTTAGAATGATATATGGTGGCCTTGGTAAATACTTGGTGTCAAAATCTCTAATGCCTCTAAACCTTTGAAAAGGTTGAGTAAGAGCATAGGTGAAGAGGGAAAAGGAATGGACAAGAGAGGGAAAGGTTGGCAATAAGGGTAAGCCAATTGTAAAAGGAGGGTGGAAGCAAGTTTGGTGGCGATGGATGATAGACTGATGGTACTTGTGGTGGTGATGGTGGTGGGGGTAGTAAAGTTAGTGACTTAGTAGTGTAAATTGGAGAGGGAGTGTAGTTTTGCTTAATTTCTTTTTCTTTCTTTTTAAATCATTCTGGTACTTGAGCTCATAAGAAATTCCACTTATCACTAATTCTTTGTATGGTTTCTAGCTAGTTATTTAAAATGTATAACCTTTAAAAAGTCACGACATGGCAATTAAAAAGCTTATGAATAGTGCCTTTCCTTTTTTACCCTTGAAAAAGTTTATTGATTATTTTGCCCTTGTTGTAGCAATTGATTTCCTTCTCTTTGTAGGACGGTTGACCTTTTTGCCCCTTTGCTTTTCCTCGGTCTTCCCCGAGGTTGTTTAGCCTGCAATACATCTTTGTCTCCCTTTTTTTACTTTTCATGGTTTTACTCTCTACCACTCATTTCACTTTCTTTCTCTTTGTTCCCCTCTCTCTCCCTTCACCTCAATCCTCTCTCCTAATTCATGCAATGAACTCATTGCACACTCTCTCTCCTCTAAAGGTATTTGAACAACAATTAAAGCTTATTTTGATAATATTGACATATCCTAAGGGAGATTGGAATATTACCTTGGGCTTCCTCTGATCCTATGGTAAAGAATTTAAGCTTAGTACTATGCTAAAGAAAAAAAATGATATGGTTTCATCTTATTTTTAATAATTATAAAATTTTAGTTGGTTTTTTTTTTTTTTTGGTAATATTTTTGCTTCAATTATAATGCTGAACAAACCATCATCATATGGGGCTCCTCCTTCCATGTCTGGTTATCCAACTACATCTTATGTGCAGTGAAACCCAACACGAAGTTTCTACAACATTTCCCAAGGCTTTGGATTTGGTATGACAGAAGTTTGGGTGTTAAATTTTAATTTGCTTTCATTTCACTAAGCAAGTCTCTACTCAATTTTGATTTTTAGGAGTGTTCTATATGGTTTTGATAGGAATATTAATTAAAAACTTATTATTCAGAGAGATGATGATCCAATTTTTTAATATGTACTTGTAGTTTATACAACTTTTTCAAAATTACATAAAGACCCAAAAATTCTTTGGAAACATAATAAGATCCAATGTCTCTATATGTAGTTGATATAATTTTTACAAATTACATTTCATTAGAATGGACATTGTCCATCATGTAATTGCAGCACATTCAATTTTCAAATTTCTATAGATGCTCATTCAGACCATCGCATGTAGTAATATCAGGCTGCATGGCCTACTCAAATTCGCTCTTGCTGAAATGTAACGCTTGGTTCACATATATATAGAATATGTTTACTGTTTTGTGGGATTCATGGTTATAATTTTTGGTTTAATATTTCCGAAACATAATCAAACGCAATTTCTCATCATTAAAATTTAAATACACATCCTACTATCTTTTGAAACATTATCAAATCATATGCAACATTACTTAATACTTAATTACAATACATCTTATTCCAATTTTTGAGAAAACTACATGACCAATTCAAATTGCTATTGAGAGGATAACTTCTATAAAACCCGATTCACAATCATCACAAGTATATTACCAATAGGACATTATAACTAGTAAATTGATAGTACCAAGAATAAGTTACATTAAAAATGCTTTCCTAGGTCACCTATATAGATTTTTTAAATGTGAGGGTACCTGAAAATGTCAAATTGTGAGAAATGGTATTTATGCATGATTGGAATTTTGGATTATTATGGGCAAATTTTAACTGTTGAAATTATTTTCAACGTATCAACTAAACATGAGATTAATTTATGGAATAAGTTTTAGGGAGGTTGCAATTCAAAATTTAAGGGTTTTTTTTTTTTTTTTTTTTTTTTTTTTTTTTTTTTTGTGAATCTGAATTTGCGATATACTTGTATAAAAATTTAAGGAAGAAGTTTTAGGGAAGTTGCAATGTATTTCAAAATTTTTATTTTACAAGTACATCTCATATGAAAAGAGATAAAAAACACAGAAAAATAATCATTTATTGTATCACTATTATAGTGCCCTGAAAGGCTGAAATTGCATTTCTTCAAAAAAAAAAAAAAAAAAAAAAATGAGGCTGAAATTGCATATTTTCTCCAATTCCACCTGCAGGATGCTGACCAACTTTTAGAGAAAAGAGTTAGATCCCGTTTATCACAGAGAAAACTTTTGTTTTGTCCTCCCTCAAAAGATGAGTTAGAAAGGTAATTCTAGCCAAGTTTAGAGATTAGAATGACAATTTTTTTGTGCAGTTTGTGTTACATGCATGTTCTGAAGTGATTCTTTGATTAAGTGGCTGTTCACAGGTTGCTGGAGTTTCTATTATCCTTGCCGGTAAATTCGAGCCTTCCTCAGAGTTACGTAGTTGAATTCAACAAAGAGCTTCGTGTATCCTTTCTCTTTAGATATATCATTTTGGTCTGTGAACTACATATCATGCAAACATTTGTTGTGGATTGACTGTTACTTTGTCTGTGCTTCTTATTGTAATGGTTATTTTTCATATGTTTTCTCTGTGACTATACCATTTTGAAGTTGTATGTATCACTTGGATTCCATCTACTCTCAAGCTACTCAGTACCCTTGACAATGCATTTTCAAAATTTTGGTCGCAGTATATTCACCTTCTATGAAATGTAACTAGAATTACTTGCTACTGTGAACAATATGTTGCTAATCTTTGGTATTAACTCCATGCAAATGCTATAGAGCTCTATATTATCATGTGTAGGATCGATGTTGATATTCAGTAAAGAGCGGAATATGACTATACGTATTATTTGTTTTTTAGTTTTTACCCTCAAGTTACAGAACGAGCATTCTGGATTAGCCTCAGCTTTGATGCCCTGTTCAGTGCTGTCCTCTCAAAGTTCAAATAGTAATATTATGGTGTGCTATAGACTTCCGTTTTGGTGAGGAGACCTGAGTACTGGAGGTTGACACATTTATTTATGTAGGGTTGGAATGTATGATTGAGAGGTGGATTTATTAAGTAGCAGCAAATAGCCATATAGCAGGCATTGATTGCATACAAGGATCCTTTGGTTTCACCTTGTAATAGAATTATACATACTTGGGCTCTTACTGTCTTGATTCCTGAATCCAAACTTATAATGCAAAGGGTTTTGGTGCTTTTTCTGAAGTTTCGGGAATTAATAATCTTTCTATCTGTTCTTATTGTTTTTGAAGGTACGTGTCGCTTTTTGCCTATTTTGTTAGAATATATTTTGAACCTCAACCTCATCCTCATGAGACTAGAGCTGAATTTATAGTACATTTCTTTAGTTAGTGTAAGGCTTAACATGGTGGGAAAAGCCTAGAAGAGGAAGTGGAAGCCTGGGAGGTCAACTATAGAGAGAGAAAGAGAGAGAGAGAGAGAGAGAGGGAGAGAGAGAGAGAGAGATGGAATCGACCAGAGAGAGAGAGAGAGAGAGAGAGAGGTCGAGGGAGAGGGAGAGAGGGAGAGGGAGAGAGAGAGGGAGAGGGAGAGATTGAGGGGGAGAGAGAGAGAGAAGAGAGAGAGAGAGAGAGAGAGAGAGAGGGAGATGGTATCGACCAATGAATGATATTAACTATCCATCATGTAACACATTGTTATGCCGAATCAACAATTTGCAAAGTTTTAGATACGGGCAAATCAGTTTAATTTGAAAGCTATATTAATGCTCATACTCCAGCTATCTCTTTATCTACTCTGTATTTTCTTCCTTGATTTTACGTAGAAGATATTGGCTGACAAGAAATTCAAAGACACTATGAACACATTGTTGAGTTCAGATTCAACAGTTGACCAGATTATGAGATTCTTGTAAGTAATTTCTTCTTTAAGTGAAACAATTGAGTTGTACCCTATGTTTTTAGATTTTACACATAGTAATCCTAACGTCCAATTAGTAAGTCAACAGTAACCTTGTTGTTAGTATTCTGTTATGGGAGTTTTGTGACTCTATAACCCCAATTTTTCATTTTGGTGAAGAATTTCCTCCAAATGAACAGGGGTAGCCTCTTAGCCTCCCTCTTCTTTGTACATAACACCCCCTTTTCTATATTTTATCCATAGGCATCCATTGTTATATTCATTATATTGACACTTTTATAGCTATTTATGAGGGTTGCATTGCTCTTGGGAAAATACCATTGTAAAAGTTGTCAATCTCAATTAAATTCTTATTTTTAGGGATTTTAATCCCAATTAATTAATTAGTTGATTGGAGAGTAACCTTCCACATAGTAGAATAAATGACATGTGCATCAAGAAGACCCATAGATGCTTTTACTCATGTTTATCACCTTCTTCAACATCTATTAGGTTTGAAATTTTTTGGTTAGGTTTGAAATTACTAATAAAAAATAGAGAGAAACCTTTCGTGTGAGTTGAGCTTGGTAAGAGATCTCCTCGGGAAGGATAGGCATAGGAATTGGAAATGCCAATGGACTCGGCAACTGAATAAGATGGTGGAGGTAGCGGAGGAGCTGTGGTGGTGATACTGGCGACGGAGGAATTTAGAGAGGAAAGGGAATAAGCAAAATTGGCCCACTCTGAACTGTGGCTTGAGTGTACCCTGTACTTTGCTTAGTAGCCAAAACACCACAAACTAATGACTTGGGTGCAAAACGCACCTTTAGTGAGTTTTCTGGCCACCATTCTCACCGGAGCCGATGAATTTTTTCGATTTGCATGTTGAAAAATATCACGTAAAGGTTTCGGGGGTCATTTTGACCATTAAAGGTCCAAATTGAGTTCGAAACAAGCAAAAAAACAGCTAAATGACTCAATTTGGCTTAAAAAACAATGACACGCAAAACGAATCATGTACGATATTGATTTACTTGTTTCGAGCTCAATTTGGACCTCCGAAACCTTTACTGGATGCAAATAAAAAAATAATAAAAAAAAATCTCAGACTGGTGAGAATGGTGGTCGAAAAACTCACTAAAGGTGCGCTTTGCACCTAAGTCATTAGTTTGTTGTGTTTTGGCCACTAAGCAAAGTAAAGGGTGCTGGTGCACCCAAGCCATAGTTCATAGTGTTGAGACCAATTTTGCCAAGAATTTAACTAACTTGGTATTTTCTTTTTCCGCTTCTTTGTCACTTTCTCATTCTCCATCTTTCAGAAAGAGAGAAAAACTTCCGGAGAAAGAACCTAGAGTAAGCATCTAACTTTGGTCTAACGTCCTTGAATTTTGCTAACATAGTTAGGTTACTGTTGACTTACTAATTGCACCTAAAAGTTATTGTGTGGAAATACTCAAAAAAAAAATTTGCCTGCATCATTGCATTTTATGGTTCCTCATGAGCCTCCCTTCTGCGCATCCATCTCCTCTCGTGGGGTCTAGCAATACAAAAAATGAACAAAAACAAAACTTGTTTTCTCATGTTATTACCTCCCATGTTTTCAGGTTTTTATCTGTTTCCACCATGGACATGAAGACGGGCATCCTTTCAATTGAGAACTTCAAGAGGGCTGTTGTGAGATTAAATAGACAGCCAAAGTTGGAGTATCTAAAAGGTGAAGTAGCCTCTTCAATTTTATGTGCTTCATTTTGTTCCATTTCAATTTGATAGTTATAGACTCAATAATCTGATAGTATGTATTTTTCTCATTCAGTATGTAGTATGCACCGCTGTTCCTACTCTCTCCCCATATTAGCACCATTTATAAAACATAACTATATACTCTGGAGAACCATGATCTTGGTCCCTAATATCCGTTGTCCATTCTATTGATTATCAGTGTAGTAATTTCGTGGAAAGAAGGCTGAAGGTTTATCGAGTCTTTTGGGTTTTAACAAATTTAATAGGACAATCTGAATGTCAAAAAGGACCTTTTAAAGTAGACATTTTGTGAGAAAAGGTCCTTTTATAAATAAAGTGGTAAATTAGGACCTTATATAAATATTTTTAATTTTGCATTCTTAATTTTTTTTTTTGTGTGAAAAGGGACCTAGCTTTGACTTGATTTTTCCAATGTTGACCCTCGTATGCAGAGCATGTGCCTTGTTTTCATCCCTTTCACCTTCCCAACCACCATGCCCAACACCTTTGGTTGCACATAGAGATAGGTGCACCCAAGTTATTTATTTTATTTATTTTTTTTATTTTTTTGGCTCATTTTAAGATTTTAAAATGTGCAAAAAATATTTAATGAGTAGAAAATACCTTTGGGTGCAGCTTACAATCGGATGTATATAATTTTTTTTAAACCATGCCCACCATCATCCCACTACTAGCCCACCACGACACTAAAATCCTACACCACCACATGCCCTACCTCTTCACTCCCTTTTCCTTTGCTTCATTCTCTCCTCTCCTCGTCTGAACCCAACGCCAGCTACCCCTTCACACTACCTACTACAAATTGCCACTACCTCAAGCGCCACTCATGTCACCTATCAGCGTATTGCCGTTGCCAAGCCGCTACCCATGCAACTCATTCCATCTTATTATCCCCATTTGGATGTTATTTATAGCTTTCACGTAGTATTCATAAGAGGGGGATTTTATTTGATTCAATTGATTTCATATGTTTTATGCGGGGTTTTAATGGCATATTAAAGGCAAAAGGTAAGAAAATGGAAGGGATGACGATGAGAGGCAAAAATTATGGAGGGATGGTGGTATGGTAGTGGTGGGGATAATGTTCAGCAAAATTAGAGGAAAAAATCAAGTCATTTGCTTAGCATGTGAGGGTCAAGTCCGAATAAGGACAATCAAAGGTCGGGATCCTGTTTAGGGTCCTTGTTCAAAACAAAATTTTCGGTTTGCTTTAAATGGTCCTTTTTGACTAATTTTGAATGTGAGGAGTTGGAGCAGAAGAAAGGGTTAGGTGTGTGTGTGGGAGGGAGGGGGGGAGGGAATGATGGATATAACAAGGTGGCTGAAATCTTTTTTTCTTTTTCTTTCGTGGGGACAAGCTATGCTTTTTGCAGTGTTGAATAGTGTAGATTTATGCTTTTGTTCCCAATTCCAGTGATTGACACTGGGATCATAATTTTTTGTAAGAAGCCCTGTTTCATATCCTATTTAGTTATATATGCATGGTGTAAATTTTTTTATAAGATAAATAGCTGAAGGTGTAGAAGGGGAGTTCCCCAGATTCAAGTCTGTTCTTTTGAACTAATGTTTATTTGGCTAATGCTGCATTCCAAGCTCTCACTTCCTTAATCGCTTTCCCCTCCTAAAATTGTTATTGACTTCTCTGACATATATAAATTTGTTCTCACAGATTGCTCTGTCTTAGAACTTTATATACTGGTCTGTATGAAAAGGCTAGAAGTTAAAGAGCAGAACTCATATAACTTCAACTCTGTCATGAAAGGTACATATAAAAGATCTACGAGTTGCATTATATTTTAAAATTCCCATGTACTTACTGTCGTTTATGTGGCAGAATACAAAGCTATACATGATTCATTCCAGACTCCTGACTATTATGCACGGAATGTTTGCTTAAGGGTGAGCATGGTTTAGCCTTTATCAATATTACTTGCACAATCTAAACTAATTTGATGATCTACTGGTCAATGATTTCAGGCTTTGGAGCATCTTATCCAATGTGAATTAGTTTGCTTCATGGACAATAAGGGGTACAACCAATCCAATGAATTTCGTCCAGTGAAGTTACTAATCTCACCATATGAGCTCCAATTGGGTTTGAAGGAAAATCAAAGTTGCCCAGTAAGTTGAATGTTTCAATTGTGTTTGCTGTGTTAATTTCTGAATAAGTTAATGCTGCAAAGTAGTTAAGTACCTTCTGCTTCTCTAATCTATGGTGTAGAAACATATTCAATGGTTCTTTTCTTTTTGATGCCCTGTTTCTGAATGTTTTGACATCAAGGTTATATCTGACAAATGATAGCTGTATAAAACACCTGATATATAAAAATGCTGTTCATGCGCGCAGAGCATTCTTCAAAAATTGATGGATCAGACAGGGCAAAAAAGTTAAAAGGACCAAATAAATGTTGAAGTAGCTTGAGAAGATCTGCTGCAAACTTCTTGGTTCAAGTATGAGTTAATTAACCTTTTTAACCTCATTAGAAATTTGATTAATCCTTTTTGTGAAGATATGGGGAACAATCAAATATTGTAGCAGCAAATCTCTAAAGCATCCATAGTGATGGTACAACCATTTGTAGCATTCACACGATACTTCTCAGGTTTTTGCTGTGCATTGTATAAAACCTTTTTGTATAAACTTATCTTGCTCTGTTTTTTCAATATTCAAATTTTTTGCAGTCTATTGATATGTGTGTGTTATTGTGCTACTACACCATGCTCCAAGTGATGCATAGCATGTTACCTTGACCAACTGAAGCTTTGTAGCAAATTTTAACTTTTTGTAGGCATAGCAAATTTTTTTTGACGGGACTTACGTTGCTTTTAAATTAAACATAATAGAGAAAATGATTTATGTAACAACGTTGATTTAGAATGATTTATGATTCATTGGTCACAATGAAATTACTCTGTATGTTACCTGGTTGTTTTAACTGAATATAATTTCTATATTTACAATTTTCTGGCTGAAGTGAAAATTTTAATACTATTTTATTAGAGTCGGTTTGGTTATTTATGTTAATATTGTATTTATGTTAAGTTTATCTTGTTAGGAGTTTTAGGCAAGTTAGGTTTCGTAATATATATATATATATATATATATATATATATATATATATATATATATATATATATATATATATATTATCATTGCAAAGGCGAAACTGTTTTCTCCATATTTCCTTAAGTTTAACATATTTCACTTTTCGATCATTGATGTATCTTTAATTCTTGTAACACACAATTGTGTCATGAAATTACAATTTCAATTACATATAATTTATCATTGTCTCTAATTACTTGAATGGAATCAATCTCTGCCCCTTCTTCATTTACAATTGTTATGTTGTCTGCATTAACTTCGAACTTTTGCCCTGTCAATCGTACAGCAAAATCAAATCACTAAATACAATCAATAATGTAAAAAAAACTTGTATCAAAAGAAGGAAGTCACACAATGATCAAAGACCAATAAGTATTATTTGATCCAATGAAGAACTGAATAAATTACACACATCTTTTTCATATTTAAATCATCTTTTTCATATATCAGATTAAAGGAAATACAAGAATTGCAAAGGTACCCTTTTTGTTACGCTACACTACTTTAATTTCAATATTTAAAAAAAAAAAAAAAAACTTATTTATCCAATTTCGCTTAGTTACCTCTATTATATGTGCATTTCTTGATTTTTCATTAATTTTCTCTGGACCTTATATAGGCGCTAACATTAAATTTTGCAACTATTATTATTTTTTCTACTATATAATTACTCTATGTAAATAAAGTACTCCCTCCGTTCTTAAATTACATTCCTACTTCTCTCTATTATGTGAGGAATAAATGATAGAAATAGGAATGTAATAATACCGCCATCCAAAATTATCAAAATCGACAACATTTAGTGTGAATGGACAATCATGTCCTTAGTACTTCACTACTATCTTCCCTCTTGCCATCAATCACTAACACCTTGACACCACCACCCTAATTGACGACTAACACCACCACCACTCACACCACACTGACCGGCGACTGTCACCACCGCACTAGCGATCCACCACCTTCCCTCTTTTTTTTTTTTTTTTTTTTAAAATTTCAGATTTTCAGGCAATCGCGGTAACCAAAGCCCAAAATCAATTACCGTGTATGGTAAACGGAGCCCAAAATCGGTTACCGTGCATGGTAACCGGAGCCCAAAATCGGTTACCGTGCGTGGTAACCGGTTTTGGGCTCCGGTTACCACGGTTGCCTAAAATTAAAAAAAAAAAAGCCACCACCTTCACGCCGACCAGGGAAGGTGGTGGATTGTCATAGAGGGGGGTGTGGTGGGTCGTCGGTCAAAAGGGGTTGTGATCGCGGGTTGGAAGGGGTTGTGGGTTGCCGGAAGGATGAAGGGATGGTGAAGTAGTGAGGGTATGATTGTCCATTCACACCAAATGTTGACGGTGATGATCATTTTTGTTGGCGGTGTTTAGCAATCCATTTTTGTTCACGGAGGGAGTATCATAAAGACAATGATATAGACATGATTTAATTTCATGTCTTGAATACCACCTACAAGACTTTAACCAGGTAGTTGGCATTTACATTATTTGGTATAATTTTAGCTTTATTACTAACTAGAATTCAAATATATTAATAAGTTAATGGTGAAAATAACCAATTAATAATATTTTTCTAACAAAAGGGAATAGAATATTAAACTAGAAACCATACCTGCAATTCTTTTGAGTTCCTCAAAAGAACTTGGCAATTTAATAAGCCTTCCAGTTGCAAATCTGTCAAATGTGCTGCTTATAATTGGATGCCCCTTGTATAAATTTATCCTTGCACAAAACTGGTCATTCTGCCTATTCACTAAGTTTACTTCTTTATATTCAGGATTAATTTTTTGCATCTTGTTATGTAGCACATATTGATCACCAGCGGCGAAAATCGAAGAAAATGTGTGACCATTAAGGTCACTAGTTTTTGCACCATGGGCTATTAGTACCTTAGCTACTTCAAGATGATTAGTTGCTAAGGAAACCTGAAGAGCTTTTAAGCCATGAAGATTCTTTGAGTCCGGGTTTAATCCACATTGTAACATATCCTTGATCACTTCGATTTCGTTGCGTTCAGTTGCTGCGGTGAGAAGATCGCCTGCTACATGTGGATCAGAAATAGTAGCGTAATTGTATAGCAGTTGGAATATCTTGTAGTGTTTGGAAGTTATAGCATCCCATAAAGCTGTGTTGCCATTGACATCTGTAAAAATTCATGATATGTTAGATGATACCAACTTGGTTCCAAGTAATAAATCGTGTGATACGAAATTAATAAAGCCAGTCGGATCCAAAATTTTAAATTAACAGCCGACACCATATCTAATGTACACGTATATCTGTAACTTTTTTTTTCCAAGGGGTAAGAAAAAAAAAACACTAGGATACCTCCTTACGAGAGAACTTTTAATGCGTAATATCTGTCCATGTAACTAAACAGTCCAAAGTACTTGTATATACCTTGTAAAAGTACATTGCATCCATGGTTTAGAAGCACAACAACACATTCTTCATGTCCCCTTGAAGCTGCTTCATGCTAAGTAAATCAAAGTGATGACAAGTTAAAATCAAAATAAATTTACCACTAATCAACATAAAAGGAAAGAGTAAGTTTATAATTAAACTTATTCAAATTAATTTGTTCGTTTATTTTCTTTAATCATTTCATCAAATAACATGTCAAAGTGTTGTTTTATACCTACTTTAAAAAAATAGAGGAAACAATCTCTTTACTTTGAACTTCAAAAAGATGAAATGAAACCAAATGTTTGAAGCCTAAAAATGAAAGACTTAAACAATACCAATGGGGTTCTTCCATGAGAGTCGCAAACGTTTGGATCAAAGTTTGCATTGAGAAGCTTGTCAAGAAAAATGTTATTTCCAGCAGCAGAAACATTCAATAAAATCAATGCTTTGACTAATTCACCATCTCTTTCTGCATTCTCAATCAACCATTCTCCCACTCTCAAAATGTTAAGCTTCCTATTATGCTGTCAAGATTACGGAATCAAGCACAAACGTACATGTTAATAAACTCACCATACTGCGTAAGCTAACTAAAGACTAAGCCTGATCAAGTTGAGCCTGGTCCGATTATAAGCGGGTTTTGGGCAGTTTTTTCCAGCCCAAAATTGGCCCAGTCACGATTTTAAAAAAAAAGTTGGATGGACTTTGAAAATCAATTTTCTACAATTTTAGTTAATTTTTTTTTACCCGGCCCGAAAAGCCCTCATTGCCCAGCTATTTTGGGCAAGTATGGGCACATATAGTTCGTCCCAAAGCTTGGTTCAGCCTGAGGATTGGGCTGAATTTTTTTTTACCTCGGCTGACCCTGCCCGCCCATTCACTTCTACTAAAAACAATGGATGGAGTACAAGTACGGAAGTGATACTAACCTGAAGAAAGTTGTTAACCATAACAATATTATCTTCCTGCCTAATCTTCATTGCTTCAATAAGATTAGAAGTTTTTAATCTGAGAAGTTGTGCAAGTGTTTTCGTACGAAAAGTGAAGGCTTGTGGAGTAGAGCAAATAGCAGCAACCTCTCCAAACATATCTCCGGCTTGTAAACTTCCAACGACAATCTCTTTCTGATCACTTTCATAATCTATCATCTCCACTTCTCCAGATACTATAATGTATATGTCATCTGCTGCTTCGTTTTGTATTATTATGTCTTCTCTTGGAGGTAAGTACTCTGCCTTTGTTCTTGCTACCTTGTTTTTTGAAGCATACATATGGTCAAATTTTTAGATTATTTGGACTATGAATTAAGTCTTTAAAAGTATACTTAACATACTGTAGATACAACAACAGCAATAACAATAACAACAAAACCTTAGTCCCAAAATGATTTAATGATATGAATTGGCTAACATGAATTGTCATGAGAAGCTGCTCGTAAAGGAAAAAGAGCATAGCAATATATAGATCTTGTATATTCTATAGTCTTCTCTTGGAGGCAAGTACTCTGCCTTTGTTCTTGCTACCTTATTTGAAGCATACATATGGTCAAATTTTTTAGATTATTATCAAAAAGTATATATATATATATATATATATATATATATATATATATATATATATATATATATATATATATATATATATATTGTGTTTTGAGAAGAATCAAAAAAGTATATTTTGTTAATATGGATCTTGTATATACTCACCCAAATTCAAATAAAAAAACGGCCAATTTAAGAAAGTGATGCATTTAAAAAAACGAAGGGAATACCAAGTAAAGGTTTATCATTGATACTATCTACACCCTTAAAAATGATAAAGAAGAACAAAAGAGAAAAAGCGGAGTTTTCCTTAGGACACTGCGAAACAAGTATACATATAGAACAACAACAAAGTCCTAGTCCCAAAATAATTTGAGTTCGGCTAATGTGAATTTATAAGGAGCTATCCGCAATGTTACAAGAAGAGAATAACATACAAGATATAGATCTTGTGTATAGTATATACTAAACCCAAATTCAAATGCGAAAATTTATGCCAAATACATATTTGCACACATCCTTTTTTTTTTTTTTTTTTTTTTTATAATTTTTAATTTTTTTATTTAAATACCAAGATTAAGGATGAGCTTTGCTAAACTTGGTGCTAATGGTTCAATGTAAAGTAACTCAAGAAACATTGTAAATTACCAAATAAA